GGCGGAGACACAGGCGGGGGGGGAAGCCGGCAGCAAAGAGGTGGCTTTGTGAGGACGGCTGGGGCCAGGGCAAGGGTGCAGCGCTCACCGTGGACTTGCTCCCTGATTCTCGGAGCTTGGGGAAATGGAGAGGCGTCAGCCAGCAAGGGTCACGGCACTGCCTGAATGCTGCCAGGCAAGGCTGCTCCGTCCTCCCTGCCAGCAGGAAAAGGCTCCACGCGCCTGGGAAAGCACGCAGCTAGAGCATCGGCCCCCCCAGCGCCCCGGGGAAGGACGGGGATAACTGCACAGTGCACCTAAAAGCCTGAAGTTTGCCCTGGGGCCGCGCCTGCAGCACAGAGCCAGGGCAGCCATCCCCAGGCCAGGCAGTGCCTGCACCGGGGAGACATTTCACAACCCAGGGAGATGAGCAGGGTGCCGCAGACGCGTGCCCTGCAACTGCAGGCTGCCCGGAGAGCCAGGCTTCAGCCAACGTTTAAACACCGTTATCTGCCTCGCTGCCACGCTCAGGCCAGAGACCAGGATGACAGTGGAGCTTAAAAAGCAAAGCTAAGAAACACCATTAGCAAATCCCTGCAATGCTTCTTCTAAAACACGGGGAAGTCAACCATTAGCAGAGTCTGGACTTCATCTCTGCAGTCTCCATAATTAATAACTAGCTCAGGAGGGAATAGAGAATACAACATAACTGATGGAGACAGGAGGAAATCACACAAGTACTTCAGGCCTTGGATGTAAGCCCAGAAGTGCAGGTATAGTCAAAAAATTAACTTAATGGAAGGACAACCTCCTGCCTTAACCATCCTTTTCCCCTGCTGTGCTTGCACTCTGCACAACGTCCAACCCACGAGGCTGGTGGAGTCCAGCACGTGGGTCCCAACCACAGAAGCGCTGATGGGTTTTCAGAGTCATGGCTGTTTTTTTCCGGGCTGCTGGGAAACACAGAGGCCGCCGCACACACTTGCAAACCAAAGCAGCAGAAAGCAAGCCAGCGAGAAACAAGGAGAACTGCTCTTACAGCAAGCCGGGCGGCACCGAAGGAACCGGGGCTCAGATCCACGGGAGCACGTGGGTAAAAGGGGCCGCAGGAGGTCCCTGATCCAACCTCCCTCTTGCAACAGGACTGCTGCCAATAAGAGATCTGGGCAGCCTGGTCTTGTCTGGGCGATGCTTGAAACCTCCATGGATGGAGACGCCTCCCCACCAGCTTTTTTTTTTCCTGATGTCCAAGCCAAGCTTCCCATGTTCCCCTATTACGTCACCTGCCACGGCTGCCAAAAAGAGTCTGACCGCATCGTCTTCCTAACTGCCATTCACATCGCTGTACCTGTGATTAGATATGCCCCCAGCCGCCTCTTCACCACACCAAGCTGCCCCAGCTCCCCACTCTCCTCCCAGGCCCTCTGCCCCCAGCCCTGACCAGCCCAGGAGCCCCAACCAGACCCTCTCTAGCATCCCTGCATCCCTCTTGAATTGGGGGACTGGGGGGGAGGCCCAAACTGGACACGGTTTCCAGGTGTGACCTCCTCAGAGAGCCAACAGCTTCCCTTGCTCCGCTGGCCCTTGCCGGAGTGGCGCAGGCTGCGTTTGCCTCCTTTGGGAAGAGAGCAGCCACAGCTATGCAATACCCAGCACGACAGAGAAGCTGCCTTCCTGCCGAGAGCCCTGCCGTGTCCAGACAAGCCCTCTCTTCTGGGGAACTGCCACTCTTCCTTATCTGCTTTACGGGGATGTGTCCAGAGAGCCTGCGCGGGACTGACAAGACAGACACAGTTAGGAACGCACCCACAGAGCCGGAGCCACAGACCCGAGAAGCAGCGCAGAAGCAGACCCTCTCTCCCCTGGGAGGAGATCCAACTCCAAACCACCCGGCCTTCTGCATTACAACAAAATGCCGGCCCAGGGCTCCCGGCTGGGGCGGCGCTGCCCT